TTTTTGAATTTGACACCAGAACTATGATTTATGTCTGTAGTATGTTTCTGTGTACACTAGAAAGGAGAAGAGGGAGTCAGGAAATTCATTTGGTTGTATAAGACTGCCACTTGGGTTACTTTCTGTCTGGAACCTGAATAGTGCTACCCTGTGGTCACAATGGGTCATAACAGTAAGACTGAAATAAAATTTTTGATATTTTGATGGTTTGGCTTACAAATAACTTTGCTTAACAATAGAATACTATTCTACATATGGATTAGTAGGGGTTTTGCTTTTCAGATGTAAAAAACAAGTTGCATAAACTCAGATAAAAGGAGAGAAAGGCTGTTTGGTACAATTTGGGGCAATTGGTAAATCTCTAGAGGTGAGAAGTAGGCATGGAGCAAATCACTGGGGCCTTTTGTAGGCTAGACCAGCGTTTTTCAACCGCTGTTCCGCAGCACACTAGTGTGCTGCAAGATGTTGCCTGGTGTGCCGTAGGTGCAGACAAGACAAGAATTTTATAATTTTTCACTATTTTGTTTACTTAATATTTCATAATAAAGTAATTATAAAATACTTTCTTTGTGTTTATTTGATTCCTATTCAAGAGAATTACTTTCTATATAGTCAATATAGGCACAGAGTTAAATTTTTTAACATTTTCTAATGGTGGTGTGCCTCGTGATTTTTTTCATGAAACAAGTGTGCCTTTGCCCAAAAAAGGTTGAAAAACACTGGGCTAGACTATGGAATAAGAGATGCAAATCTTGTCCCTAAGCCAGAACATATTTAGACTAGAAGGGGGTTCTATTCATTATTATGGCAGGACAATAGCATAATCTGGAACTGTCCCAGGCAAACCAGGTTATATGATCACTTTATTTGAAAATGAACAAGAACCATTGATTTAGTTACATATCCTACAAGGAATGGGAGGTTAAAATAAATTTTGGGTAGGAGGCTTACACAAGTCTGAATAATCCTAACTAGATGGGAATGGGAGAGGTGGGGCAATTGCTAGATGAGGACATATAATTGAAAAGGATTGTTGTGGTGGTGGTGGTGGTGGTGATTGTTGGATAGAGAATAAAAACTTGAGCATGTGCAAATGCAGGTAGGAGGAAGAGGGGAGGTTGAAAATTGGTAAAGTAAGAGACACAAAGAAAGGTGGTAGGGGATGGAGCTTATTTTCCATTATGACAGGTGGAAAGGAAGCAAGAGTGGGTACAGATGCAGATGAGGCTTTAGGTGAGAGGTTCATAGCAGGTTTAGAGTTCCTACCTGATAACAGCTCATAATATTGTGGGTTCAAGGAAAGTAGAGAAGGTTTTAAATAGCTACAGTGGACAATGGGAGAAAGACCAATAACAAGACAAGGATGTCCCCTGTCGCCACTTCTATTCAACATTGTGTGTCACTCTAGTGGCCGTCTTAAACCAGGCTGTCCTAGCAAATGAATAAAGCAAGGAAAGTAAATATAAGGTATAATGATTGGAGTAGAAGAAATAAAACTTATTCACAGCAACTTAACTGAGCATACAGGAAAATCCAAACGAATCTGTAGATGGACTATTAGAATGTGTAATGTTAGAAGTAAGGATAGTGATTATCTTTGTGATGGAGGGCAGGTCGAATAATTAGGAAAGGTTACAAGGAGAGGTTCTCTTCACTGAGCTTGTACAGTTAGGATTTTATATATTTTGTCTTTCAATATAAGTTTGTTTTCAAATAATATAATATAATATATGTAAAATGCTTATCATAGTGCCTGGCTCATTGAAAGTGTTCAGTAACTGCCAGTATCAACTCTTCACTGTAATTCAGTTCTCTGTGTTGCCAAGGTCTAGGACAGTGCTGTTCAGGACAACGTTCTGCAATCATTAAAGTGTTTTGTGTCTGCACTGTCTTGTTCCATAGCTCCTGGAACATTTGGAAATATGACTAGTATGACTAAGGAACTTATTTGAAAATTTTACTTATTAATTATAATTAAAAATTAAATATCCACATGTGACTGATGGCTGATGTATTGCATAGTGCAGGTCTAGGGTATTGTGACATGAGGAATGAGTGACTGAAGGAGAGTGGCAGTGAAGTTTAAATGAAGAGGCCAGAATGTAGGATGAGTTGTGCATCTGTACATTGAAGAAAGCTCAAGGTAATGGCAAGACCTGAGCAGGAGATAGCTAGCTCCATTCCAAAGTCTTCAAAGAAGCATTTGGATAGAGGAGGGGAAAAGTGTAACAGACCAAAAAGATGCCTTCTTCCAACTAGGTTGTCAAAAGTACTTAGGTAGAAATGTTTCTGAAGCACAGCTTAGGTAATTAAGAGCCATGGAAGGAATTTCAAGAAAAAAATGGTCAGCAGCAGCAATAATACTTCAGAGTGGTGCTATGTGACAAAGCTAGAGTAGTGAAGGGGTCATTGGAGGCCTGTGAGAGCACAGTTTGTTGCCCGGATGGGGAAGGAAACTAGATTGCAATAGTGGATGAAAGGTTAAGGCATGGTCTGTTTTCAAAAAGCTCCTCTTTAAAAACATTGAGAAACTAAATGATAGCTTGGGGTTGTGCTTTTGTTTAACAAATAGTGGAGAAGTGATCTTGAGGAAGGATATAAGTGAAACAAAAAACAAAAAACAACCTGTTTTTATTTAGCGTGTGGAAGAAATGCTGAGACTGACTGAGTACATTAGAGTCTCTGTGAGGTGAAGAGGGAAGGGACTGGATTAGTTGGGCCAAGCTTGGACAGTCTAAATGGCATTATGAAGAAATGTTGACTTTATTTAATAGTTCATGGAGAGGTGAGGAAGACTTTAATTTAAAAAAATTTTTGTTGTTAATCCTCACCCAAGGATTTTTTCCCCATTGATTTTTTTTTAAGAGAGTGAAAGGGAAGGGGGGAGACACAGAGAGAGAAACATCAATGTGAGAGAGACACATCTATTGGTTGCCTCCTGCATATACCCTGACCAGGGCTGGGATCGAGCCTGTAACCAAAGTATGTGCCCTTGACTGGCATCGAACCCGGGACCCTTCAGTCTTCGAGTCAACATTCTCTCCACTGAGCCAGACTGGCTAGGTTGCAAGGAAGGCTTTAAACATCTGGATCTCCTATAAGAGTCTGTGTTTTAGAAATATTACTCTGGTAATAAGGACTGTGGACTAAAATGTGGCCAGACTGAAGGCAGACAGATTGCCTTATCAAGCAAGAAGTGATGAGAGACTGAATTAGGGCACTAGCAATTCATTGGATGGGGAAGAGTTGGTGAATTTGAAAGTATACTCACAGAGTTGTGTAAACATCACCGCAATCAAATTTAGAATGTTTCTAAAACCCTATAAAGAAACCCATTCCCATTTTACCGTGCCTCCTCCCATCTCCCCAGCACTAGGTGATTACTAATCTACTCTTGGCTGCTATGAATTTGCCTGATTGATGTCAATGAAATCATACATGCGGTCCCTTGTGACTAGCTTCTTTTTTGCTTAGCATGTTTTTAAAGCTCACCTGTGTAGAGATTCCCTTTTGCCTTGTATTGTTGTCACCTCTTTGCATGTTTGATATCCTGCACTGGAATATAAGTGCCCAGGGACTACTGTTATATATATTCAAGAGCTGTATCTAGCACAAATTTTTGTATTTAGTTATGACGCAGCAAATATTTGATACATCATAAATTAGAAGGTTAACTCAATTAATCACAAAATTAAGTTAACCAGAACAAGCTGCTCCCATACATGCCTTCTCACTGAGGTGTGTCTATATTTTCTGTCATGGAATAAGTAAGTCTGGCTCTGCCATTGACTCTTTGTGTGATCTTTGTTAAATCATTTGCTCTCTGGAGACAGTTTCCTTATCTGAAAATGGGGATAAACATCCCTACTCAATCTGAAACGGAGGAATAACTAAGATGATTCAAATTGATGGGATTTGGATAGAATTGGGGTTCATCTAGAAAGCCTCTGAGAAGGCTGAATAAATGTTTGGCTCTGTTACCTAATCCTCCTGGGATAGGCGTAGCCTTTTCCCATGGGATTAGGTTATTTTGGCCATTGCGTCTTTTCAACCCCCATTTTCAAGGTCCTGGTTTTGTCTATGGCACACTGTTCTTTTGTCACCAATCTGGGGCATTTTACCCTGTGCCATGTTCTCTAGATTTTCTCTCTGGAATAGAGAAGACACTATTTCTTTCTTAAGGACACCAACCAAAGCATAGCTTCCTGTCACTTCCCTTAATCCCTGTTTTTTTTTTTGTTTTTTTTTAATAGGATGCATGTAGTTGAATATAAAAAAATTAAAGTTTAAATCCCATCCTTCCTGAAACAATATATAAATGCAATCCCCTCCTCCTCCCTCTTTTGGAGAGTTGTACATATTTTTATTTAGAAATGCTGAGTGTGATTTGTTATGTATCAAAATAAATAAAATAGTTTTGACTTCTATGATCTCATAGCAGTTTAGTGAGAGGAGACAGACATCTGATAAACAGATAATCACAGTATAATGTGAAAAGTGGAATAGCAGAACCATATATGAGTAGTTATAGGAGCACCTGGAAGAAGTGATTGGGACAGTGTTTTAAAGCAGATGTCACCTGGCATTTCTGCACTAACAAGTGTAACAGAAGCATCCTGATGAAGAGCCATCTGTGCTATTTGAGCCTTACAAAAACCTGGTGAGGAGGAGGTTTTATACTTCCGTTTTAGAGAGTAATCTACTGGTAAAGCTCAGAAAGGTTCAGTGAGTGTCTCTTACACACAGGTCCTTAACTCAGATTCTGTGTATGATCCCTCTCCCTCCCATCACATCCATGCCCTTTAAGCAAGGATAGAAAGTACCCCCTCTCCTTTAGCTCTTCCTCCTAAAGCAAAACTAGAGCCTCAGACTCCCCTTTTCTGTGTCTGGCTTGCTTCCAGTGTCTTCATCGCTGCATTGAGCATTCCTGGGCTGTAGCAGTAGTGAATATTGCTGATGTCATTGTTTGCCTTATTGGGATTTTGCTCTTTGTTTCACAGGGAGCTGTGATTGGTATAGACGATGAGGACGACAGCACCTTCACAATAACTGTTGATCAGAAAACCTTCCATTTCCAGGGTGAGCTGAAAGAAGAGATTCTTTCTCTTCTAGTCCCAACTGCTTCTTTCATTTTCTTTTGGGTTGTTTGCCGAATGAGGTTTTGCAACTGATCCTGCATGAATGAGCAAACAGGAACGTTCTGGTTGAAGTGGTGCTGCAGGTTAGGGAGGGATTTGTATCTGCAGTGGATACAGATTTATTTGAAACGACTGGATCTGGCTGCAATTGGAGATTAAAATTTTAAAGGATAAAAATCAGTGAAAGGAGAGAGTAATGGGCTGCTGCTGCTGCTGCTGGCTTGTGTTTACACAAGGTTGCTGATTTTCTTTATCGAGGAGTATGGTTCTGCTTCTGCATGAAGAATCTAAAGACTGATTGTGAAGGTTGCAGTGTTTGTCCGTGTAAAACTCAAAGTGTAGATTAAGTTGAAGCTACTAGCAACCTTTGGTTTAAAGGTTTTGCTTTGCTTCAAGAACTACAAGTTTGTGTTCATTTCACCTGCATTTCTGTATCTTGTCTGCCAGCCGTCATTTCTCTGCTATTATCCTTTTTTTTTTTTATAGTTAATAACACCAATGCCATCTGCCACTGCTATGTTTCGGCATTGCATGCTATGGCTCACCGGTAGAAAGGGTAAGGTATTGTACGATCATTCTCATTTCATCTTGCTTTGAAAACTCTAAACCAGCAAATAAAAATAGATTGTAATGATCCTGTCATAATATATCTCTTATAGTAACGTTAGCTTCATTATTAATGTTTTTATTATTCATCCAGAATAACCTCTATTTTACCTTTAAAGCAGTCCAAGAAACTTAGAAATGAGAATATATGGATATGGTTAGCACTTTCTTTGAACTGAAAGTGACAATGCACTGTAATAGATGATATATCAAGATAAAGAAATATTAAATTTACAGCTTAAAATGTTTTGGTTATAAAGGTTCACAGTGATCAGATGCTATCTGATGTTCAGACAGCTTTTGTCTTTTTATGCTAGGGTATTAAACTGCAGTTATTTTTCTTCATTGTCTTGTTTGAGAAATTAACACCTAGAAATGAAAGATGAAACTTATATACAGTAAAGACAAACCAGTGTATTCAAAAGTGATATCTCTAATGCTTTTAAGGAAAGCACCCATAAAAATATTTACTATTTGGTCATATTCTTTATTCAGAGCTGCTTACTAATGATGCTCTCCTGAGATTTTCATAAATTTTTTTAACACATTTAAAATCTTATTATAAAAGCCCAAGGCCTTTATTTTTAGGTTAAATATGTAACACTGCTTACAAACTAAAGTAGATAATGCCCACACACTACAACTCTTTTTTTGAATGAAGTTGAATACTTGAATGCGATTCCAGTCATAGCTGCTGATGCAGGTGAAGGCTGCAGTATGGAATCCTCTCTCTGCAGTTGCTAAGGAGACGCTTTCTCTGGATATCCAGAAACTGTATTGTTTGCTTGTTAAAGGAGAGGAGACTCAGACCTCTAAAGCAAAGGAGCCTCTACCTTCTGATTTACTTTTAAATTATTTATTTTAAACTCATCTCCCCTATACCACTCCTAGATTTATGTGGCCTGCTTGTAAGACAAGCAGTTCTTTTAATGCATTATTTAAATGACAAGGATAAATAAGATTTATATGTATTTTTATATGGATTCTTATTTCTGAGGCCATCAGACTTATTTGTTTCTTTTCTAGTGAAATAATAATGGAAGTCTCAGGCAACATGAGATTATCTAGCTTTTTAAAGAACTCACTAGCACTCTCTCTATATATCCTCGGCAAAAATGAGTTAATTCACATTCATAAGTTCTTGCTCATAAGAAATTCTTTGAAATTTGATAAAAAGTTCTTATTGTTTGATAAATCTTATATTCTTGATGAGAATTGAAAGCAAGTTTGACTTTAGCATGTTTAAATGTGTTGAATTTTTATTTAATATACTAGAATTCGTATAAGCAAATGAAATATTAGTTGATGCATCTATTAAACAAATTCTGTTTTCATCAACTATTAAAGTGAGAGCTAGAATTTGTTCAGATATATTCATTTATTCAACATCTACTTTAGACCTTCTAAGTTCTGGGGATACTGTAATGAACAAAACAGATGCCTGCTGGAGTCATCCATTCTGGTAGAGGAGAAAGCCAATCAACAAGATAAATTAGTAAAGTATAAGTAAATAAGAGAATGATGAGTCCCGGGGAGAAAAAAAATAAAGCAGAAAGGGAGGACGTGAACTAGAAGTGTGTGGATGTGTGTGGGGGTAGTGTTGGAATTTTAGAGTGGCTAGGAAATGACTCACTGGGTGGTGCCTCTCAGTGAAAGAGCCGAAGGAAGTGAGGGAGCAAGCTGTCAGGGTTCCCTGGTGTGGGGATAGGGATACATCATTATAGGCAGAGGGAAGAGTAAGTGCCAAAGTCTGTGCCTGCCGTATTTGAAGGAGGCCAGCTCTGGTTGAGTGTAAGTAACCATGGGGGAAGGGAGTGGGAGGTGAGATTTGAGACTGTAGGGAGCCTGGCCATGTGAGGCCTCTTCTACGCCACTGAAAGGACATTGAATTTTGTTGAGATGAGATACCATTAGAGGGTTTTGACCAGAGGAGTGACATGATGTGATTTTTTTTTTTTTTTTAACAGTATCATTCTGGCCACTGTTGAGAATAAAATGCAGGAGGCAGGGACAGAAGCAGAGAAACTAATTAGGAGGCCTTGTAATCCACAGAGAGATGAGGATGGCTTCCATGGTAGCCTTGGGAGGAGAGGTAGTGAGAAGATGTCAAATTGTATGTGTGTTTAATCAACAGTATTGAGGTATTAACATAAAATCTATAATAATAATAGCGTAATGTGCTAATTAGACCGGACAGCTGAACAACCTTCTAGACATCCTTCTGGACGACCTTCTGGACAAAGCTGGGGCTGCGAGGGCCAAGCCCCTGGCATGAATTTCGTGCATCAGGCCTCTAGTAAAATATAAACATTATACAGTTCAATGAATGTTGGCAAATTTAATCAAGATACAGAACATTTCTATCATCTACAAGATTCCTTTATTCTTTGAGTTAGTCACCATTGCCAGCCCCTGGTCCAAGTCAACCATTGATCTACTTTAAATAGAGATTAGATTTTTCTTTTGGAGAGTTTCACACAAATAGAATCACATAGTATATACTCTTTTTGGTCAGGCTTTATTTTAGCTCAGTATAATACTTTTAAGATTCATCCATGTTGTGTGTATATGATAGTTTGTTCCTTCTATATTGCTAAGTAATAGTTGCATGTTATATCAATTTTGAAGATTGAACTGTATATAGAATGTGAGAGAAAGATAGGAGTCTAGGTTGACACCAGAATTTTGACTTGAGCAACAACAATGGAGTTGTCATTAATGGAAGTAGTGAAGATTGCAAGAGGAACTAGTTCAGGGGGAAGGGGGGTGGGGGAGGGGGGGTTGTGGGGGAGAAGTTTAGAGTCTTCAGGGGATGTGAGCATCAAGATCTTAGCCTTGTACTTGCTGAAAAATAAGTTTTCAATGCCTATCAAACTTCCAGATGGAGATGTTTACAGTTGAGGTGCTGAGTTCAAGGGAAAAGTTCACACTGGAGAAATAAATTTGGGAGTCTTTGGCATATAGATGGTATTTTCAGCATAAAGGTAGAGAGAAAAGAGAAAAGGTCCAAGTAATGAACATCAGAGCACTCCAATATTTATTTAGAGGGCGCAGAGATGAGGCAGAACAGCCAAAGAGATTGAAAAGAAGCAACCAAATGGAGAAGTAAAAACAGGTGAATGTGGCATCCTAGAAGCCAAGAGAAAGTGTTTCTAGGAGGAAAGAGGCACCAACAACTGTGTCAGATGCTCCTGATAGATCACGTAAATTGAGGGCTGAAAAATTATTATAGGATTTAACAATTAACAGTCCATTGGTGACCTTGAGAAGAACAGTTTGAAGGTAGGAATACAGACAGTGTTTTCAAGTTCTTCTGTAAAGGCAAAGTGGGAAATACAGCAGCAGCTGGTGCGGGGATGAGAACAAGCGAGTTTTTGTTTTTTTAAGGTAAGAGAAATAATAGCATCTTTTTATGCTACCGACAGTGATTCAATAAAGAGAAAAAACTGGTGCAAGAGAGGGGTGAATTGTTGGATCAGTGTCCTTGAGAAGGCAGGAGAGGAGGTGGGCATTGCCTTTGATTAGGAGCATGGACGAGAAAGAAGGTCAAGTGTATGGAAATACATGTAGGTGGGGTGTTACACATCCCCTTCATTTCTATTTTGGTTTAAATCTCTAGCTGCTCTACATAGTCTGTATCCTGAAACATCATTTATTTATAATAAAGAGGATTGGTGCCAGGAAGAAAACAAACTTCTTTGAAATAATGGATATTTCATTACAGTGATTCTGGAAACTTGATATTACAGATTATCGCCAATTATAAAGAGACTAGAGGCCCGGTGCACGAAATTCGTGCATGGGGGCTGAGGGTGTGTCCCTCAGCCCAGCATGCACCCTCTCCAATCTGGGACCCCTCGAGAGATGTCGGACATTCTTCTCAACCCAGAACTGCTGGCTCCCAACTGCTCATCTGCTTGCCTTCCTGATTGCCCCTAACCACTTCTGCCTGCCTGATTAATGTCTAACTGCCTCCCTGCCAGCTTGTTTGCCCCCAACTTCCCTCCTCTGCTTGCCTGGTCACCCCTAACTGCCCTCCCCTGCAGGGTTGATCACCTCCAACTGCCCTCTCTTGCAGGCCTGGTCCCTCTCAACTGTCTTCCCCTGCTGGCCATCTTGTGATGGCCATCTGTGTTCACATAGGGGCAGGATCTTTGACCACATGGGGGCAGCCATATTGTGTGTTGGAGTGATGGTCAATCTGTATATTACTCTTTTATTAGATAGGATAAAGGCCTGGTGCACAGGTGGGGGCCAGCTGGTTTGCCCTGAAGGGTGTCCGGGATCAGGGTTGGGTGTGGGGCGGCCTGAACAAGGGGCCTGTGGTGGTTTGCA